GGTGGTGGTTCCGGCTCCATGTCCTCAACGAACGGGCAGGACAACGGTGTCAGCACCTCAACCTCGGTCTCTGAGCACAACAACAAGTTGATCAACTGGGCCGGCGACTCGCGCTACACCGTGCACGTGCACATCGGCACTCCGGGCGTGGACCACGAGCTCCTCGTCGACACGGGCTCGTCTACAATGTGGGTCTTCGGGGAGAACTGCACCTCCGCCGCCTGCGAGGCCAGTACGACCAAGTACGAGCAGTCGCACAGCTCGACCGCGAACGTGAGCGACTCCTCGCCCTACAACATCACCTACGCCGCGGGCGCCACGAAGGGGCAGTACGTCCGTGACGTGGTGTCTGTGGGACCCTTTGAGGTGACCAACTTCAAGTTCGGCGTCGTGAACCAGGCCGGCACCGCGCCTTTCCACGGCACGAACATCTCCGGTCTGCTGGGTATGGGTCGGAACGCGGCGGCGATCACGTCCCCGCCCTTTTTCTACACCTTTCTCGCCAACCACGACGGCAACTCGGACATTGCGCCCCAGTTCGGCCTGCACATGTCGCGCAACACGGGCGACAAGGATCCCTACAAGACCGAGGCCATCAATGGCGGATCTCTCACCTTGGGCGGGTGGGACGAGAGTCTGACGACAGGCGATGTGACGTGGGTCGATGTCGTGAACCCCAAGGTCAGGTATGCGAACGGCACAGACCAGCAGGACAAGTGGACCATTGCCTCCGAGTCGCTCAGCGTCAACGGACACAGCGTGAACCTCGCCGGCTGCATTAGTCTCATGGACAGCGGCTCGCCCGGCCTCGGCCTGCCGCTCAAGGCAGTGACCGAGTTCTACGAGCAGATCCCGGGCGCCTCGTATGCCGGTGAGGGGCTCTTTGCCTTCCCCTGCCGTTCGGTCCCGCAGCAGAAAGTCTCGATCACATTCGGCGGCCGTGTATTTTGGATCCAATCGACCGATCTGGTCCTCTACCAGGCGGGCGGGACTTGTATCGGCTCCGTCACGCTATCCCCCCTCGCGCAGGCTTATCCCAACTTTGTCCTCGTCGGCGCCGCGTTCCTCAAGAACTTCTACACGATCCACCAGACCAACCCTCCGCGCGTTGGTTTCGTCGACCTGAAGCCCGAGTTCAACCGTCCCCTTACCCAGGAGAGCATCAAGGCGCTCCTCGAGGGACGGGTTGGATTGAACGCGACCTACTCCCAGGAAGAGGTCATGCAGCAAAACGAGGTCGCGCAGATTCTCCAGATGCTCAACAACAATGGAGGTGGAGGCGGTAACGGACCCAACCTCGAGGGCCAGGGTGGTGGTAACATCGGCGGCAGCGGAAATGTCGGCGGCGGCAACAACAGCGGCAACGTGAACGGCGGCAGCAGCGGAGGCAGCAACAACAACGGTACCAGCAACGGCCAGAACAGCGGCAATGGCAACAACTCCGGCAACAACAGCGGCAGCAACAACGGCAACTGGAACGGAAACGGTAACTGGAACAACAACCGGCCGCCTCGTCCCGGTCCACCCGGCCGTCCCCACGGCGGTGGCTCGACCTGGTCTTCCTCTTCCTCCTCCTCCTCAAGCTCCGGGTACCGGATCATCCAGTACTCGACCAGCTACAGCCCCGGATGGAGCTGGACGTGGAGCTCGTCCTCGTCCAACTGCGCCGGCTGTGCGAGCGCCCAGTTCCGCGGCAAGAGCATTAGCACCGTCGGCAACAACGGTATCTGGAAGGTCAGTGTGGGGAGTAATGGAAATGTGGGCTGGAGCTGGTTCACTGCGTTCTAAGACCCATCGTCATCTCAACCTCTGCCTCTCTGCCCTCAACAACTGCATGACGGTTGGGAGAGAGGCAGACGCTGGGCAGTACGCCCAGACTTTCCATAGACGTGAAAAGAACTGTGTAAGTGACGAGCCGCGGGCAGTGTACACTGCAGCGCGGGCTCTGTGTATAGTTTCCGTAGTTAGAATAGGACCTGTGTGTGCGATGCAAGCTTTCTTACAAGCATAGCGCTGATCCTCGGTGAAGCGATCAGCGACCAATTCTTAGTTTGATCATCCCCAGCCTGTCGGTCAAACAATAGGATCTGGGGGGCAAGATCGAGTTGTGAGCGGCAACAACATGGCGTTCGTCTCGGACCCGGACGGCCACCCACTCCGTCTCAAGACTCGGAGAGGTCACGAAGAACAGCCGGTGTCTTAATGAATGAAGATGCTGTGCTTCTTGAAAATCAAGGAGGGAGTTAGTACGCAGCCGCCGCCTGCGCTGCTTGAGCGGTGTAAGCATAGCGACGATCAGGTTCTGTGAGTGATCAGCGATGGCCCGGCGCACCCATACAGCTTTCCTTCGGCACCGACCGTAAGCGCTGATCTGGCTAATCTGCGGTGAGTTTAAACCCGCGTAAGACTATCTCCAGTTGACCATCTTCGCCTTAACGCCGTCTTCTAGCAGCGAGATAAGAGATGCTGTGCCGCCTCTACCCGGCCATACCGCACAGCTTGAAACAATCAGATTGTCTTGTACTTGGCGCTGCGATGCTTAACGAACGTGTCGATCATGGTACGACCCCGTGACTGCCGTCGGTTCTCGGTCATGGCTTCCAAGGCATGCAAGGAACGGGGATTGCAGATCGGTGTGGGTGGGACAGAGCTTGATGCTGTGATTGGTGGGAGGCGGTGACGTCGACCAGGACGAGGAGAGAGGGAGTGAATTACATCATGTCGGTAGAGACGCTCCCAGGGCCGCGACCTTCTCCCACCCTGCGCAGAGTTGCCGCCGCCCTACGAGTCCAGTTCAGCCTGATGATCCGATCGACCTTTTTAGTACCACGCTGAGACGCTTATGCGCGGATCATAGACGCTCAGCGCGCTCAGTTTGCGCGCATCGCTTTCGCGCTAGAACAACATCAAGGCTTTTGTTGTTTTCAGTCAGCTTTGAGGTAGAACTGTGGCGTCGGGATGCACTGTCCCCGTTGACGCCTTGATTGTCCGGTTCCGTGCAAATGCCAAGCGCGCCGCCGCGCGTCCGCAGCAGCAGCGTAATGCGGTAATGCGGGGCTCACCCTCTGTGCCCTGTCTTTTCCCTGCGTCAGCTCCATTCACGCCCAGGCTCAACCCAGGCTCTCTCTCTGCATTCAGCCGGACCCTACCGAAATTTCCTGGCGACCTGCAGCGCGACTGTTCGCTCGCTTGCTTGCTTTGGGTGGGCTCACCGCGTGTGTGTCCACTCACCGACGGCGCCCACAGGCTGTGCACCACTCTTTCCGCCGCCGCCGACCAGAACTCCATCACTCATCAACAATCCTCCTTCACAACAACCTCACTTTTCCTTCCACACTCTTATATCCCCCTCTCATCTTCCTTTCATCCTCACCGAACATCTGCGCTACACTTCTTGTCGACACTTGAACACTACATTCAATCTACGAACACTCGCGACCACCTGAACACTTCCCCGACTCCCGACCCCGTCTGTCCTTAGTCGGCATGCTCCCCACCACGACCGCGCTGGCCCTCCTGGCCACCATGGGCTCGGCAGCCCTCCTGCCGCGCGACCAGGCCACGCACGTCGACCTGGGCTACTTTGACCCGTCCAAGCTCTCTCCTGTCGTCATCGGCGGCATCCAAAAGCGCGACCCGAACGCACCCCCGACCGAGCGGGAACTCGAGGCCTTCGTCCTCGGCCTTGACGAGCGACACCTCCGCACCCGCGCCAAGTACTCTTGGATGCTGGACGATGAGCGCAAGCGCTCCCTTCAGAAGGAGGTCGACGCCCACCAGCAGAGGAAACGTAACCTCGTCAACGAGATTATGCTCGAGAAGCGCCAGATTTCCGGAAACGATACTGAGGGAGGAGGCAAGGACGGAACCTCGGCCGGCGACGGATCAGGATTCGGCAACAACGGAAACGGAGGCACGAGCGAGACTGAGTGAGTACATAGCGACGTGCGCTGCGTGTGTAGCATGTCCTCCGCCGTCACCAAGAACATCCAAGCTATACTTCAGAGGGTGGAGCAAGCGTGTGGAGGAACCTCGGCAGCACAGTGGAGTGAAGATCGCCGAGCACACCGAGGATTAAGCTCAGCTCGCCACAGCTGTTACATGTCCTCCGCGGTGCGTCGCACTGCGTCTGCTCGCCACCACCAGCCTCTACATTGCATCGCAGTCAGTCAGGAAGCGCACCCGAATATCTGCTGCGGACGCGCCGCCAAGACATTCCTCCTCCGCCGAGGGCGCTGTGTGCCACTTGGCCAGACTCGCACAGCCGGTCTCGGCGCCCGGCAGAATGTCATCGGGAGTTGGCAGAACACATGCGCGAGACATTACCAAAGAACTGGGAGCTGACGCACACAGGCTCACGAACTGGGGTGGCGACATTTTGTACACCGTCCCCGTGTCGATCGGCACGCCCCCGCAAAACTTCACGACGCACATCGACACTGGCTCCCCGACGCTGTGGGTCTACGGTTCCAAGTGCCAGGACTCTGTGTGCCGCGGACACGCTAGCTACGACGAGCAGGCGTCTTCGACTTCGCAGACGTCCGGCGCGCCCTTCTCGGTCACATACGGCAAGGGCTATGTCGAGGGCGGCGCTTACAATGATACGGTGGAGATGGGTGGATGGAAGGGCACGCAGGAGTTCGGCGCGGCCGACTACGTCAAGGACATGAGCACGTATGCTCTCACGGACGCGATCGGTCTCTCGGGCTGGTCGTGGCAGGTGCCTTCGAAGCCGACGCCGTTCTGGCAGAACCTCTGTGAGGCGGGTGCGTGGAACAACCCCATGTTCGGCCTTTACCTCGCTCGTGACACGCGCAAGACGCCCTCGATGGAGGAGGAGCAGGAGGACCCGAGCAACATGCAGGGCACGAAGCCGCTGCAGAGCATGACGAACGGCGGCCGCATCTCCATGAACGGCTACGACAGCTCCCTCATCAAGGGCGACATCACTTGGGTCGACCTGACGAGCAGCCGCCAGCCGTTCTGGCGTGTGCCCATCTCCTCGCTCCGTGTCGAGAAGACGAGCGAGAGCGCGACGCACACCGACCTCGTGCTCGACAGCGGCACGTCGCTCGTCTACATGCCGCGCGAGCAGTTCAACGCCTTCTGGAACGCGATCCCCGACGCCACCCGTCTTTCGTCGCAGTACCGTATCCGCTCCTCCCAGACCGACTACCCCATCTTCCCGTGCAAGTACGCGGACAAGCTGGATATCCGCATCGGCTTTGGCGGCAAGGAGTTCAAGATCTACGGTGGCGATCTCATCATGGACTCGATCGACGGCAAGTGGTGCGTCGGCTCGTTCCAGGACGGCACCGGCCTCGTCGACGACATGCAGACGTACCAGCGCTCGGCGTGGCTGGCCGGTGACGCCATCATGAAGAACTTCTACACCATCCACCGCTACGACCCCCCATCGGTCGGTATTGCGGAGCTCGCGGACGGCACCCAGAGCACCAAGGCCGACGACCCGGCGTACACGGGTGGCGGTACGAACAACGACAACGGAGGATCGGGCAAGAGCAGCGGCGCGTCGGCGACGAAGGCGAGCGCCGCCCTCGTCGCGGCTGCCGCCGTCCTCGCCGCGGTCGTCTAAGAGACTTCCATCCCCCTTCCTCTTCTCCCATCATCTCGCCCCGAGTACCCCATCTTCAACAAAGCCTTATCAATTCATAGACTCCGCAGTCCTAATGTCCCCATCTTTGCGACTCACTCTCGTGCCACACACGACGACCCTTCATAGAACTCCCCACCACATTCATACAAACCAGCTATAGCGTTACAAGACTCATGACCCGCCCGATTGTTCCCAGTAGTAAAGATTAGAATCTCTCATGCTAGTGCGATGCCCCAGACCCCTTTATGCTCGTTGCAATGGTGCCGGGAGACTTCAGCGCCAGCCAGCCTCAAGCCTGAGGAGTGCGAGAGTTTGAACCTGAATAGGCGGAATGTTGAGGGAGGCTCGAGCGGTTGCGCGCGAGCGATGCGAGCGAGCGAGAGGGCGAGTGAGGCGAGTGAAAGGAAAACGGAGAGGTACAGGCGGGGAACAGAAGGGCACGGACACGACCCAAGACCTAAGATAAACCCAAGACCAGGCCTGTGCGAACCGCGCAGACCGGAAGTGAGGAACGGCTGACAAAGACACAGATGAGTGACTGCGCCGCTGCCCAACAAGGGTGTGTGCGAGGACGTGCGGGGGGCAAGTGGAGGACTTGGATGGGCGTGCTTGGATGAGGTGGGCGTGCACGGGTTGCAGAGAGATCCGAGCGCCTCAAAATGACGCAGTGTGACGGCGAATGAACGTCGCTGCATGAGATCGTAGAGCTCGTGGCCGAACTGGGCTAAGACGCTCTAGCTGCTGCTCCCCCTCTGGCAATGAGGACCGAAGACCCCCTTCCGTCGGATGACGCTGATCATCTAGCTCTTCTCGAGGGGCATCGGGTCGTGGACTTTGTCAGAACTACACGTCCCTCGAAACACCTAAGACTGTGCTTTCATGACTTCCCAAGTGCACGGGGTCCTGGTATTGGAACAGTCTCCTCACTCTTGTTAGTCGAACCCCTTATTCTGCCCTTCGGGGCATTGCCCATCTCGACGGACTGAAGGTGACAGTGTTCAGGGCTCGGGGCAATCCCAGTCCTAGGGCAACTTCCGTCATCACACTTCACCAACTTCCAAAGTGCTTCGCCCACTTATTTGAGTGCTATGAGTCCGGCTCACAGTGACGCAGAAAGCTGTAGGGAGGCGCCCATGACGTTCTAGACTCCCTGGACTTCTCCGATCGTCGCGGACGAAAGTCACATTCGGCACGTTCGGCACGTTCGGCATGGCCAGTAGTTCGGCATGTTCGGCACGCCCTCTAACCCTCCGCAGGAGACGCGAGGACTGGACATGACCATCATGCTTATCAATACGCCTCCCACGCCTCCGCTGGTCACATGAACAGATCGTTTGGAACGGAAGAACCAAACAGAACGAGCGCTGAGCGTCGAATGCACGCTGAGTAGCCAGAATTCCCCGCCTTGTCGGCGTTGCCCGAGGATCTCGGCGTCTTGATTCGGAGACTTGGAGGCTCGGGCGCTCGGGCACGACACTTCCGACCCGCTTTCGTCTTGTTTGCCCACTCGTTGTTCTCTCTTTAATCTGCGTTGCCCACTCTCTTGTTCTCGCGACACCTCGTCGACACAACTGTTGTATCCACCGCCGTTGACTCTGTGATTCGATATGAGGACTCGCACAATGCTCGCTTCAACCCTCACGCGCGCGCGCCCTGTTCTCCAACAGCAAGCCCGCGGCCTCGCGACTGTCGCTCCTTCGGCCTCCTTCGCCGAGCGCGTCCAGCGCGCCGTCACGCCCGAGACAGTGAAGGACTACCAGACGAACGGAGCCTGTGTTGTCCGAGGCCTGTTCACTCCCTCCGAGCTCTCAGCCCTCGCAGAAGGGATCGACACGAACCTCGCCGACCCGAGCCCGCGACACAAGGTCGCGTCCTCGAAGAGCGACCCGGGATGGTTCTTCGAGGACTTTTGCAACTGGCAGCTCTACCCCGCCTACCGCGAGTTCATCTTCAACACGCCTGCACCCTCGCTCGCCGCGGCGTTGATGGCACCGCAGAAGGAAGTGCGGCTGTACCACGACCACCTCCTCGTCAAGGAGAAGGGCACGAAGCAGCGCACGCCCTGGCACCAGGACCAGCCGTACTACAACATCAGCGGGCGCGACAACGTCTCGCTCTGGATCCCCCTCGACCCTGTACCTGTCACCTCGACGCTCGAGTTCGTCAAGGGCTCGCACTCGGGCGAGTGGTTCCTCCCCCGCACGTTCAAGGACAATGTCGCCCAGTGGTTCCCCGAGGGCTCGCTGCGGGACCTGCCCGAGGTCAAGGACGCGGAGGTGCTCAAGTGGGACCTGCAGCCGGGTGACTGTGTCGCGTTCCACATGCTCACGCTGCACGCCGCGAATGGGACGCAGAACCGCCGTCGCGCGTTCAGTATCCGCTTCATGGGCGACGACACTAGGCACGCACCCAGGGGGTGGGTCACTAGCCCCGAGTTCCCGGGTCTCAGGGAGGAGTTGGGGGAGGGAGAGAAGATGGAGCACGGTCTGTTCCCTGTCACTTGGAGGGACGGCAAGCAGGTCTCCGCACCGTGAGGGGGTTGTCAGAAGGTAGACGAGAGTATCGAAAGAAGTGGGTGCTGACGATCCCGGTAGAGGACTAATGTCATAAGGACTACAAGAAGGCGTAGCATCAAGAGGGGGATGCAAAGGTTGTATATACTCGGAGCGAACTTGCTGACAGGTCACTGACGCCGACCAGTGGGGTGTGTGTAACCAAAGGTTGCTACGGAAACGGAGTGACGAGCCGACAGTTTGTTTAGCTTGGAGAAGGAGGAGGAAGCTCTTCAGCGATAGGACGGGTACCGACTCACAGTCTACCTTTGCGTCTGGTAGGTGGCTTAGCGGGGCTACCTATGTCTCCTGCTGTCTTCTGATGACTTCCGCTTGCTGGGCTGTCTTTGCTGACAATCCCCTTCGCAAGCAGAAGGTGTGCTGGAGACCGGATGTAGGTGGTTCGGAGGACACCTGGGTGGATGTGTGCGGGTTGACAAGTGGCCACGAATCGCCGAGGAGTCATGGACTTGGGCAGCACAGGGCAGGAGCGTCATCCTTCAGCACGCAGCAGGTGGGACAGTATCGTGCACATGGGCGGTCGTCTGATCCCCGTGTCGTCGAGCACTAGTGTCCGGTCGTCCGGCCCTCTCCGTGCTGCGCGATGGTTCATGTGTCCCGTCATCCGGCCCTCTCCAGCGTGGTGTAAGTCAAGCCCATAAAAGTGCCCGGCCGTCCGGTCCTCTGGTGGGGTGTGAGAGAGATGACGATTGAGAGAGAGACCGCTGAGAAGGGTGTCTTATTTATGCGCCGGGCTGGGTCTCGGCTGCGAGTCCGTATCGGTGGTGTCTCACCAGTAGGCGACTCAACGGCTTCCTGAGGGCGAGTCTGGGGCGAGTAAGGCGTGAGATCGTGTGTGGTACGAAGCGTTGAACGAGATCCGATCACATCGGGGGAGTCGATGGGGGTACACACAGTGCGACACCGTTGCGAACTTCACGACTAATTACCAGATTGGGGGACAAGCCGCGAGAAATGGTCAGCACACTGTGAGTGGTTGGGCCCAATGGACAGGATGATGCCTCTCGGGCGCTTCGCAAGTAGGTCTGTAACGGTCTACAGAGGCGACAGGCTTCGATGTACCCGGAGGTCAGCAATCAGACAATCCTCCACAGTATGAGTTACCGAGGCTGAAGCCGTCTAACTGTGATCTGCCCACTGCCCGTGATCTGGTGTGTACATTCACGGAAAGTGTGGATGTCAACATGTCACGCCTCCTCAGTAATCAGAACCAAACAGAGCGAGACCAGTGACGTAGCTCGACTTCGCCCGTCTCACCCATGTCGACTCTCTCCGAGCGGAGATGATCGCCGAGATTGCAATCACGCGACTCTTCAACGGAAGGATCCGAGAACAGCTGACATGCCCACCTGTGCGCACGGGTGGCTCATCATCTCGGACATAAGCCATGCGGCGATCTGGAGCCGGCGTCGGCGGCGAGCAGGGGGAGGGGGGGGGCAACAATGCAATCGCTCG